TGGCAGAAAGGTGGAGGAATCAAGTGGTAGGTTGTAGGTCCTGTAGAGACAAGCAGAAGGATTCTATGGCGTAACTCTGAGTGTCTAGTGCCAACTGCTTGGGTCGAGGTTTGGTTGCTAAGTAGATTTTCAAGCTCTAAACTATTTAGATTGCTCAACCACAAACCTGAAATCACACACTTTGAGTTTATTATTTGTTGAAACATGTTAACATCTACATGTGCGCGTGTGTATGTGTTTTATCTTTTAAAATCAAATGTGTCCCCCTGCTTGATAAAAATTAAGTCCAAATTTTAATGTAATTCAAAGTCAATAAATAATTTTAATCTCATATTTTATGAGACTATAACTTTTTAACTTCGCATTTCTTCAATTTTAATCAAAATCTACTAAAAATTCGATTTTAATCTTCCCCCAATGAAGAAGGGAAGAGGCTAAATGTAATATACATTAGACACTTAGCTTACCTAAGCCCTATCAAGCCCGAACTCAGGCAAAAGCCACATGGGCAATGGCCCAAGCCTCAAATTTAAGGGGGGCCTCAAAATTTATTAAAAAAAGGGCTTGGATCATTAAATCGATCCCTCCATTTCAGCAAGAAATTATATCAATAACTATATATGTTTTGGCCAAATTGTACAGCAATTCTTCAGCAGAACCAATTTTTACAAGAACCCATTTGAGGAGAGATGAATTTGCCGCAAATTTTGCTAGTTTTGAAGCTACCCAGAAAATGAGGGGTAATGATTTTTATCTGGTAATGTCTTTTCAATTTAGTGTGATTCTTATTTCAAATACTGTGGATATTACAAATATGAGTAGATTATTAGTTGATGAATTTAAAGAACTAGGTCTCAAGGACCGCAGCTTTACTTAGCTCTTGACACAATCGTAGTCGCAGTTTGTCCAACTTCAACCGCACATTGTAAATATTTGTTCAAGTTTGAGTTGTAATTATCTTTCCATTGTAATAGTTATTTTCTGATATTTGTAAACATTTAGTGGGATTCCTTGTCATTTAAAGTCTACTCCTGTCACTTATGTTTTTATTGTGAATGCTATTATAGGGGGTATTAGTCATTCAAAAATCTTTCAAGCTCATTAGTATCTACCCCTTGTACCAGCAATTGTAATTTTCAGCTTTCATCGATCAAAGATCAATTTACTTTCAATGCATTCAAATTCTCTATTGTAAGCTTTTTACAAAATTGTAATCAAATTTTCTTTCATCCCAACACGACTGAGAAAAGGCGGAAGGTAGTCTAGCAAAGCAGATTACTGTCGTACGATGTTCCTTTCTGTACCCAAAAGAAAGGTACCCCGTAAAAGTTGGTATCAGAGTTACGGCTCACGACCCTCGATAAGAAAGCTATGGATCCAATTACATCACACACCACTGAAGTAGGAGATCTTCAAAAGAAGAGCACTAAACAATGCGTGGATGCACTGGATGAGACAATTACTAGGTTGTGCTATGCCGTGGAGGGCCTCGAGGAAAAAGTTGAAGTGGCAGAGTTGGAGATTCGTGAATTACACATCCAACTGGATGAAAGGCAAAAGGCTTCCACAGTAATGACTGAAGCTATTGCAATCATTCATGATTTGCAAGATGAAATGGAAGCATTTGAGAGCTCAATTACGAGTACTCCAATGCGGTGGACAATGGGCAAGCTCACGTACATGAGTATACTCTCAGACTCAGAATTCCTGAACTATGTTCCTATGAAGGGGCTGTGATGCAAAAGAAGTCAAAAACTTCTTGTTTGACATGAAATAGTACTTTCTCAGAGGTTCGATTGAAGACAAAGCAAGAAAGGTAACCACAGCTACCATGTATATAGGTGGAGATGCAAAACTATAGTGGCAAACCAAATATGCTGATATTCAGGCCAACAGGGTCCGAATAGATTCTTAGGATCTCCTCAAGGAAGCGATCAGATCGCAGTTTTTCCCAAAAAAATGTTGAGTATCAGGCTCGACGGGCACTTCGAGACCTGAAACATACAAGCTCCATCAGGGAGTATGTGAAAACATTTTCAGGGCATATGTTGAATATTCAAGATATGTCAAAAAAGGAAAAGCTCTTCACCTTTATGGAAGGGTTGAAACCGTGGACATGCACAGGACTTCAGAGACAAAATGTTACTGATTTGAGCATGACCATGGGAGCCGCGAATGTTTGAGTGACTATCGAACAAAATCAAAAAAAGATCGACTTTCGGGGAGTAATCAAGCAATTGAAGGTGGAAATAGACCTTACAAACCCAGCTCAAACCCAAATGAGGGAGAGCATTACTCTCAGAATAAGGAATGAGCCTATCAAAGCACCCGTCACTCTCATGAAAATTATCATAATAGCCGTCAAGGGAACTATAATGGTAGCAACAGTAACAATTGGAACAAAGAGAAAGCAACGGAGGGCCGACCTAATGCCACTCCTAAAACTATGTGCTTTTTATGCGAAGGACCTCATCTTATGTCGAAGTGTCCTTAGAAACGGATGGGAAATGCATATTGTCAACTAGCAAATGGAGAATCAAGTTCAAAGCAAGATACCTCTCAAGCTAATAGACATGGTAAGATCAACTCTGAAGAGTATAACGATGTAGTTGGTGCATTTTTACATCGGTGCAATACACTATCACATCGGGTTGCTGAAAAGGATGATGTTTCCTTAAAAGAGGCAAAGATGGAAGAAGTAAAGGCTCGTATTTGTAGGGCCAAAGGCCTAATGTACATTGATGTAAAGATCAATGGGAACCCAATCAGGGCTATGGTGGATACTGGTGCCACCCACAACTACCTTACATGTACCAAAGTAGAGTGACTCGGACTTGTTCTGGAAAAGGGTATTGGGAAATCAAAGCAATCAATTTCGCTGCTCAACCAATAGTTGGAGTGGCGAAATTGGTGTTTATCAAAGTATGTCCTTTCAAGGAAAAGATAAACTTATCTATAGTTCAAATGGATTACTTCAAACTTGTTCTGGGATTGGAATTCCTTCGGAATACTAAGACAGCAGTGTTGTCATATTTCGATTCGTTAATGATGATGGGTGATAAGCCCTGTGTCATCCCTACACAAGCTGGAAGGATGGGGGAGAAGAATATCTTGGCCATGTAATTTAGCAAGGATTTTAAGAGAAATGAACCTTCTTTTTTGTTTACTCTTCGATTAAAGGAGATCAAAGAGGCGACTGGTCCTATTCCAAAATTCGTTAAAAGGCTTATTCGGGAATTTGAGGACATCATGCTGGACAAATTACCTAAGAAATTTCCACCAAGAAGGACGATTGATCTTGAAATTGAACTTATTCTAAGTGTCAAACCTCCCGCCAAAGCACCATACCGTATGTCTCAGCCTGAGCTTGAAGAGTTTAGGAAGTAATTGGGAGAAATGTTGGAGAGTGGAATTATTATGCCTGTAAAGTTACCATACAAAGCTCTTGTGTTGTTTCAGAAAAAGACTAATGGTTCTCTTAGAATGTACTGTGACTATCGAGCCTTGAACAAGATCACTGTAAAGAATGACTATCATATTCCACTTGTTGCGGATTTCTTCGATCGACTGAGTCGGGCAAAGTATTACACAAAAATTGATCTTAGATTCGGATACTAGCAAGTTCAGATCAAGGAGGAAGATGAAGCAAAGACTAAGGTGGTAACTAAATATGGAGCCCTTGAATTTAAAGTGATGCACTTTGGCTTGACAAATGCTCCAGCAACGTTTTGTACTATGATGAATCAGGTACTTCACCGATTTTTGGACGATTTTATTGTGGTGTACATCGACAACATAGTAATCTACAGCAAGACATTGGAGGAACATGTGCAACATGTGAGGCAAGTTTTTAATCAGTTATGAGAGAATGAACTCTATGTCAAATCGTCTAAATGCTCATTTTCTCAAACCTCTATCAGTTTCTTGGGTTATATTATTGAACAAGGTAAAATCTGCATGGATTCGACAGCCATCAAAGATTGGCAACCACCAAAAATTGTACTTAATGTATGTTCTTTTCTTAGGTTATGCAATTATTATCGAAGATTTGTGAAAGGATAATAAGAAATTGCACTGCCACTTACCGAATTGACAAAGAAGGATAAAGATTAGGACTGGTCATCCCAATGTCAAACTGCTTTTGAAAGGTTGAAGAAATCCATGTGGATGAACCCGATTTTAGCCTTATTAGATATGACTAAACCATTCGAAGTTCACACAAATGCTTCAAATTTTGCATTTGGTGGAGTCCTTATGCAAAAAGGACATCCGGTAGCATATAAGAGTCGAAAGTTGAACTAAACATAATGTCGTTACTTGGTGCATGAAAAGGAATTATTGGCAGTAGTCCATTATCTTAGAGGATGGCGCACTATTTACTGGGGTCTCCATTTATTGTGAAGACAGATAACGCTACGGCTAGTCACTTTATGTCCCAACCAAAACTATCAAGCAAGCAGGCTCGTTGGCAGGAATTTCTTTCAGGATTCAATTTTATGCTAGAGTATCATCCCGGATCTAGTAATCATATTGCTGATGCTCTTAGTCAACGGGCCGATTTGATTGCCATTTGCTCTGTGGCTGCTCTTTCAGGGAGTACCGTTATCATGAATACAAGAGATCAAATTTGGGCACTTATGGATAAGGACTCGGCTACTCAACATTTGGTTGACCTCATCAAGCAGGGTAAGACTCGACAGTTCTGGCTTGATGGGGAACTAGTGAAGACTAAAAGAGACCACTTATATGTTTCTAAGGGCGGAGATTTGAAGAATCACTAATTATGGAATGGCACGACACGATTTGTCCAGGGCAACCCAAAGAGGAACGTACTTGTGCACTACTACAACGTGAATACTACTGGCCTCAAATGCAGGATGACATTGCAACTTATGTGAAAACCTGTCTTATTTTTCAGCAAGATAAGGCAGGTCATCAAAAAAAAAGCAGGCTTGTTGGAGCCCTTTTCCGTCCCAACTAGGCTATTCGAAAGTGTATCAATGGACTATATTATTGGATTGCCAAAAGTTGAGGATTTTGGCACTATCATCGTCGTGGTGGACTGTTTATCAAAGTACGCACCTTTCATCACAGCACTTAAGTATATATTAGCGAAAGAGATAGCTCAACTCTTCTTCAAACATTTATCAAATACTGGGGACTGCCTAAAGACATCGTCAGTGATCGAGATCCTCGTTTCGCTGGCAAATTTTGGACCAAGTTGTTCAAACTTCTTGGTTCAACTTTGCGTATGTGTTCTAATTTTCACTCACAATCTGATGGACAGACAAAGCACTTCAATTCTGTGTTAAAAGAATATCTTTGGCACTTTATCTCTATTTCACAGAAAAAATGGGTGAAACTCTTGATTGCAGCTCAGATTTGCTTCAATGTCCAAAAAAGCTCTTCTACCAATAAGAGACATTTTGAGGTTGTTACTGGCCAGCAACCGTTATTCCCTCATACAGTGGATATCGAACAAAGTACCAAGTCTCATCAAGCGAAAAACTTTTCTCAAGAGTGGAAACGGAATATTGAAATTGCTCGAAGTTATCTTGAGAAAACTCAAAAACTGTATAAAAAGTCTGCAGATCTAAAGCACCGTTTCCTTGAATTCAACGTTGGAGATCTCGTAATGGTTAAGCTTCCTGACATAAATGTTTATAAACCGACAAGAGGAAAGAACTCAAGATTAGCGCTGAAATATATTGGACCATTACTCATCGTGAAGAGGATTGGAAGAGTCACATACAGAGTTGAACTTCCTTCATGGTGTAAAATTCACAAGGTCCTTCATCTTAGTGTGCTGAAGCCATACTTTGCAGATAAGGAGGACACATCTAGAAATGAGCCAAAGTGACCTGTGTTTGAATTGAAGAAAGCTGGAAAGATGGTTGCTGAAGCTATTCTTGATGATCAAATCACTCGAGCTCTATAAAAGATCATCAAGAGTACTTGGTCAAATGGATCAGATGTAGCAACGACGAGAATACTAAGGAAATAAAAAAAGATCTTGGAGCCTTCAAACCGTTGATTAAACCATATCGTGCATTGATGGCACCGAGGACATTGTCAAAACAAATGGGAGAGAATATCAAAGACCGTAGCTTTACTTAGCCCTTGACACAATCGCAATCGCAATTTGCCCAACTTTGATCGCACGTTGTAAATATTTGTTCAAGTTTGAGTTGTAATTTTCTTTTCATTGTAATAGTTATTTCAGTTGTAAAATAGCTCTGATATTTGTAAAAGTTTGTATGATTCCTTGTCATTTAAACATCTACTTCTATCACTTAGGTTTTTGTTACAAATGTTATTATAGGAAGTATTAGTCATTTAAAAATCTTTCAAACTCACTAGTATCCGCCTCCGCACTAGCAATTGTAATTTTCTGCTTTCATCAATTGTAATTTTTAGCTTTCGTCAATCAAAGATCAATTTATTTTCAATGCAATCAAATTCTCTATTGTAAGTTTTCTACAAAATTGTAATCAAAATTTCTTTCGTCCCGATGCGATCGAGAAAAGACAGAAGGTAGTCTAGCGAAGTAAACTACTGTTGCACGATGTCTCTTTCTGTACCAAGAAGAAAGGCACCCCATGAAACTATTTCATGTAATATCCTTTGAAACTGCGATATTTCAAGATTTAGAAGAGAATTTTGATAGAGATGACGGGGTAAGCAGTAATGGGCAAGACCATATTTCGAAAAAATTTGTTTAAGACTAGGATGATGCTAGTTTTCATCGATGATTCACTAATGAATCTCTGTAAATAGTCTAGGAAGTGATTCACGATATACTGAATCTAAGTAGGGTTGAAAGTACCTAATTTTAGTAGTTTGATTTTGTATCTCAAAATATGAAAATTTAATCTCTCAGTTCTAAGATATATTTTTAGATTGTACAAAGTCTTCGTTTAAATATAAATATATTTTTTATTAAATGTTTTAGTATTGCTACACTTGTTAACAAACAAAATTTAAGGGCCTCAATACAATTATTCGCCTGGGTCTTCAAATCTCTCAAGGCTAGCCCTGAGCCCTATTCTATACACATCACACAAAATTAGAAAGTCCTAGTATTCATATGCTCCTACATGCTCACAAACTGTAAGGTATTGGGATAGCTCAACCACAAACCTGAAGTCACACACTTGTGTTTATATTTTTTTGAAATATGTTAATATCTATATGTGCGCATGTGTATGTGTTTTCTCTTTTAAAATTAAAAGTGTCCCCCTGTTTGGGAAAAATCAAATCTAGATTTTAATTTAAATCAAAGTTCATAATTAATTTTAACCACATATTTTATGAGATCCACATCATTTAACTTACACATTTTATCAATTTTTATTAAAATCTACTAAAAATTTTATTTTAATCCCACCCAACAGGGGCTAAATATAGTGTACAACCAGCTTACCTGAGCCTTGTGCATACATTACACAAAATTAGCGACTCCTGGTATTCGTATATTCCTACATGCTCAGACAAACACAAAAAGAAACTCGATCCCTAGATGAATAACTCTAGATGCCAAGCTGGACTTCCTTTTGTTAGAATTTGGTGTAACCCAATTTCTTTGACGAAGATAATTGAAAGTTCTAATTAAAATGTACATTAAGAAGAATTCTATTTGAAATACTTTTGGAATCCTATTCGAAGTCTATTGGCAAATTCTAATTGAAGTTTTATTTCGAAACCCTATTGTGGAGTTGGAATTCGTGTTGGACTTAAAAAGATCAAGATAAGGAAACTTTTGAGCATTTTATTTCATCCACAACTTTACTTCTAGGACTTGGATTGTCCCTATATATATTTGACTCTTCTTTCAATTTATGTATTGCTAAAATTATATTTTTCTCTCTGTTGGTTGCCAATTAATAAAATTACCTGGTTCTTCTATCAATCTCTCTTCTTGTTTTAATCTTGTTCTAACTTGTGCGATCAATACTTTATATCGTACCATACTTGCCTCTCCATTCACAACATGTAGTATCAGAGCTATTGGTTGTGATTTGTTTGAGGCTTTCTGCTATCGATAGCAACCATGAAGTATGAAATTTCACTTTTGGATTACAATACAAGATTTTCATTGTGGCAAATGAAAATATGAGTTGTATTAGCACAAATGGATTTGAATGATGCGTTATTAGGATTTGACAAAATGCTCACAACTTGGACAACAGATGAGAAACAATGGAAGGATCAGAAGGTTATTTCACAGATTTATCTTCATTTCTCTAACAGAATTCTTCAAAACGTTTTGAGGGAAAAGAAAGCAGCTGCGTTGTGGTTGAAGCTGGAGCAATTGTGCGTGACCAAAAGTCTGAGGAGCGAATTTCATCTGAAGCAGAGGTTATGTTCTCATCCCATGGCAAAAGTGGATCTTTGGAAGATCATTTGGTTGTGTTCAAGGAGATCGTTGCTGATTTAGAGACATTAGAGGTGAAGTATGATGAGAAGATTTGGCCTTAATCCTGTTGTGTTTGCTACCCGCTTCGTTTACTTCGTTTAGGGATACGATTTTATATAGTCGTGATAATTTTATCATTGAAGACGTATATGATATCCTGTTCTCAAAGGATAATATGAAGCATCTGGTTGGATCTGAGTCCAAGTCTTCTGATTTATGGTGTTTGGTGAAGGGATAAGGCAAGGTCGAGTTTTAGCAATCAAGTTTGATATTATTACAAGAAGAAATGACACATTAAGAGAGATTGCAAAAAATTACAGAATAAAAGTACTTCAGCTGTAAATCAGGGAAACCAATCAAACATTTCGAACGAGACCAACATAATTGAGGACTATTTGAGTGATGGAGATGTCTCGACAATTTCTTACGTGGAATCCAAACCTGACAAGGAGTGAATTTTGGACTCAGCTTGTAAGTCCCATATGTGTCACAATCGGGATTTGTTTGAAACATATGAAACGGTGACGTAAGGTGGTGTTGTCATGGGTAACAATGAATTTTGTTAGATGGCTGGCATTGGTAAAGTTAGATTGAAGTTGGTAGATGGAATATGTAGAACACTTGATCACATTTAACATATTTCAGATTTGAAGAAAAATCTCATTTCGTTGAATACTCTTGATTCGAAATGGTACATGTTCTCTGGAGCAAGTGGAGTCTTGAGGGTCCGGAAGGATGTTGGTGTTATATTAGAGGGATGGAAGAGGTCCCAATTATACATATTCCAAGGCTGAGCAGAATCGGTGAAGAAAAGTCAGCACAGGTTTAGTACCGTAGTTGAGATTCTGTTTGGTACTATACCTTTGGGATTTGGACCTAGGTCTATATTGAAGAATACTACTCGGTCGAGTTTAGAGAATATGGGTAATTCCACTTTGCCGCCATTGTTCGCAGTTCCATCATATTCAATTGCTAGGAATAAATCCATTGCAGATAGGTATGGAATGCTGATTTGGTTGCACATGCTTTTGGAGTTTTTGAAGGTGTCGAGAATAACAAGAGGCTTTCGGTAAAAACATTAAGAGTTGATTTTGCTACAGTGTATGCTTCGACCCTGTTTGGTAAATCTTGAATTTCTTGTGGGAATTTTGGGAACCCGATATTTGGGTTCGGGTATCATTTGTGGATACTGTGGAAAAAGGAAGAGTAATTTTTCATGAGGTGAAAAAGTTGGGTTTTGGTTGAAGAGTTCGGTCCCTTTTGCTGCAGTCGAATTTATTTTTCCAGGTGAAGAAATTTTGGAGCTTCATTCGTTGAATCGAAATTCGTGTCAAGGTGGAGATTGTTAGAATTTAGGTGTGAATTGAATTCTTTAATGAAGATAGTTAAGAGTTCTAATTAAAGTGTGCATTAAAAAGAATTCTATTTAGAATGTTTTTGGAATCCTATTCGAAGTCTATTGGCAAATTCTAATTGAAATTATATTTGGAAGTCCTATTGGGAGTTGTAATTTGTGTTGGACTTAAAGAGATCAAAATACTTTTAGTTATTCTATTTTATCCACAACTCTGCTTCTAGGGTTTGGATTATCCCTATATATATTTGACTTTCTTCTAGTTTATGTATTGCTAAAATTGTATTTTTCTTTCCATTGATTGTCAATTAATAAAATTACTTGATTTATCTACCATTCTTGTCTTAATCTTGTTCTTACTTGTGTGATCAATACTTCATATGGTGCCATATTTCCCTCTCCATTCCCAACACCTTTCACATAAGTATATATGTACGGTCTTATGATATGATCTTGTTATGCACCTTTCCCTTGCATGGTCCTAATTGCTTTATCGAATCTACCATCTCATTTTTCCTTATCTAATCTCATATATACCTCAATCTTTTCATTCTCAGGGTAATGACATCAAGGCTCTGAAGTCTTTTTACCAGTCTCTTATTGAACATTTGATACTTCGACAAAACTGCAGCTTCGTTTTAAATAACATGTCCAAATACACAGACCCATCATCATAGCTGCTAAATGCTTAATGCTGTAAACAGTTGAGTTGCTTCATTTTTGATTGCCAAAAGGTTGTACTCCGCTATGCATTTTCTAATGAAATTTTACTTCCCCTTGGGATTTCACTTATGAGTATCACGGGGTTCTTTTCTGTAAATACCGTTCATTTTGCTATCATTGGACAGCGAGGTATGACCATAAACAATGTCCTTGGCACAAGTTTTAAGTCCTGCATTTGATCCTTCTTGAATGCTAACGTGTTTCTATTGCATTGACATGACAGGTGTAAATTTGCGAAAGTGGTTCAATGTGAAATGTTGTTTTGGCACTGAGTTTTTGGTGCTGAGCATTTGACTAAAGCTTCGGCAAGGTGGTTGTCTATAAACCGAATCTTGTTTATTGGCCATTGATTCCTGTGCTCTTCTTGTGTGATCGACTAACAAAATTTTCTAGTTCATTTCCGAGGAGGGAAGCAAATGAAGTTATTGCTCCTCGGGGATCTAGAAAAGAATATGATTCTGTTTTTAGTTGTGCCATAAGAAAAAGGAGGGGAATTTGCTTTTTGTTTATTTCTTCATCTTCTTCTTGAAGTGCAGGTCTGTTGAATGCGCTTATTTATTTATTTATTTCTCATTTTATATAGGTATTATCTTTGTTTGTTGAATATATGAATGCTATAATGAAGGAAGATGGTTCGATAGTACAACATACATTACTGTTTTCCCGCATACGAAACATGTCATTAGGGACCCGCTGTCTTTGCCATTAGTTGGTTTTGTGTGGTATGATGTTTGTTGATGTATATAGAGAAAATTTCAGTTACGGACGCACAGTACCTTGGGTCAAGTCGGAGTTTAGGTAAGACCGCTATCCAATTCACATATATTTAGAATGGGAGCCTCCCGTGTTAGGTCTGATTTAGACTCCAAGGCTGGAATTTGGAGTGCCCGCCCAGGTCAACACAGCTTTGCAAATTTCTTCACCAACCAAGAATATGAATCCCATTTCGAATGTTTCTGAATTTTGACTTGCTCTGCAGTCTGCATCATTTTCATTTTTATTGAACAAAAAAGTTACATTGAAGACCTTTAGGCTATTGCTTCGTTTGGCGGATGATTCCGACCTTGTCGATTCACACATGATTCATGCTTGGACATGAAAAATAATTAGTCCACGCATTTGTTAATAGTGTTACACTATTTTTGTCAATATTACAAATATCTTTGGATTTTAATTAGCAAAATTAAAAATAATTTATGCAAGAGACATTGCTTTCTTATTTCAAAATCAATCCATTGGAGTTGACACATTCATCAAGCTCTGGAAGGAATTTACCATGACACTAGCGTATGCACAGGGTGGGATTTTGAATGAAAATAGGGTCCTCTTGGGCTCCA